CCCTCCAGTCTAGGCGACAGAGTGAGACTCCGACTCAAAAAAAAAAAAAAAAGAAAGAAAGAAAAGAAAAATATCTTCTATTTACAAGGGCAAACCTACATGCTGCATATAAGGGGGACCCAGAAAAACCTGGAATTATCTTTCGGAGGGCGGGTTGCTTGTAGTACAAGCTTCCCCTGTTGGGGAAGTGTTCTCGGAACCCATCGGCATCAGGGTACCAGCTAGTGCTGTTGTGAGAGGCTGCGTTGGGCTTCAGGGAATTTTACTGGAGATTCTCTCAATGTGTTTGCTCATTTCATGATGGGCGATTCACAAGCACACCTGTCCACACAGGGCTGAGTGTCCAGTGGTGCTTGACCAAAAACGGCATGGTCCCTGTGCCCCATATTCCTTATTTTTTGCTTCCCCAGATGAGAAAAGTCCTCAAAGGGAAATATTTCACTGATGTGGAAAAGGTGAAACAGAAAGCAGAGAAGCGGCTGGACTCGGTGGCTCAGCCTGTCATCCCAACACTTTGGGAGGCCGAGGCAAGTAGATTGCCGGAGCCTGTGGGCTTGAGGCCAGCCCAGGCAACTTGGAGAGATTTAGACTCTACAATAAATTAAAAATTAGCTGGGTATGGTAGCGCACCCCTGTAGTTCTGGTTACTCGGAAGGCTGAGGCAGAAGGATTGCTGGAGCCCAGCAGGTGGAAGCTGCGGTGGCTGTGAGTATGCCACTGTACTCCAGCCTGGGGGACAGAGTGAGACTCCAACTCAAAAAAAAAAAAAAAAAAGGCAGAAGCACTAAAAGGCATCAAAATCACTGAGTTCAAAAACTGTTTTGAGCAGTGGAAAAAGCATCTCAATAGGGACAGGTGTACTGCATCAAACGGATAGTATTTTGAAGGTGACTGAAGTTTAAATACGTAAGAATACACATTTCCTATAAACAAATTCTGGCTTTCTGGCATCCCCCTCCTATGTGGTATTTAAAGAACAGAAAAGCCATGTGTGGTGGCTCATACCTGTAATCCCAGCACTTTGGGAGGTGGAGGTGAAAAGACTGCCTGAGCTCAGAGGTTCAAGACCAGCCTGAGCAAGATAGAGAGACCTCATTTCTACAATTAAAAAAAAAGGACAGGTGCAGTGGCTCAAGTCTGTAATTCCAGCACTCTGGGAGGCCATGGTGAGACGACTGCCTGAGCCCATGCGTTCAAGACTAGCCTGGGCAATTTGGCAAGACCTCATCTCTACAATCAAAAAATTAGCTGGGCATGGTAGTGTGCGCCTGTAGTTCCGGCTACTTGGAAGGCTGAGGCGGAAGCATCGCTGGAGTCCAGCAGGTCGACGCTGGGGTGGCCGTGAGTGTGCCACTGCACTCCAGTCTGGGCGACGGAGTGAGACTTCAACTCAAAAAAAATTAATAACTAAAAATAAAGAACCGGAAAATTAAAAGAATAAAATGACCATGTACTCACCATCCAGGTTAAGAAATTAAACCTGCAAACCTGCAAAAAGAAGAACTGGTATTTTCATGAATCTATGCAAATGACCAGCTAATCTACCATGCTATCATTTGGGAATGGATTCATTATTCTGCAGACATAATGGAGTCAGTCACTCCTCCTGAAGGCATAGCCCAAGCTAAGCTCCGGGATTCTGCTTGAAATCACCTCAAAACAGACCTGAGAAGCTTTCTACACTCACTCTTGGGAAGAAAAAGGTAAATAAGAATTTTTTTTTTTTTTTTTTAGTTGGAGTCTCACTCTGTCACCCAGGTTGGAGTGCAGTGGCATGCTCACAGCCACAGCCTCAACCTACTGGGCTCAGGTGATCCTTCCACCTCAGCCTTCCAAGTAGCTAGAAACACAGGCACATGCCACCATGCCCAGCTAATTTTATTTATTGTAGAGACGAGGTCTTACCATGTTGCTCAGGTTGGTCTTGAACCCCCAAGCTCAGGCAATCTTCTCACCTCCGCCTCCCAAAGTGGTGGGATTACAGGCTTGAGCCACCGTGCCCAGCAAGATTTTTTTTTTTTTGGAGTTGGAGTTAGAGTCTCACCCCATTGCCCAGGCTGGAGTGCAATGGCACACTCACGGCCACCCCAGTGTTGGCTTACTGGACTCCAGGGATCCTTTTGCCTCAGTCTTCCAACTAGCCAGAACTATAGTTGTGTACTACCACATCCAGCCAATTTTTTTATTTATTGCAGAGACGAGGTCTTGCCAAATTGCCTGGGCTGGTCTTGAACCCGTGGGTTCAGGCAATCCACTCACCTTGGTCTCCCAAAGTACTGGGATTACAGGCTGAGTCATTGAGCCCGGCTGAGAATTTTTAACAAATAAAATATATGACTAGATACTTAATTTTGTTTTGTTTCTCTTTTTTTTTTTTTTGTGAGTTGGAGTCTCACTCAGTCACCCAGACTGGAGTGCAGTGGCCGCTCCCGGCCACCGCAGCCACGACCTGCTGGGCTCTGGCAAACCTTCCGCCTCAGCCTTCCGAGTAGCTGGAACTACAGGCGCGTGCTACCACACCCGGCTGATTTTTGATTTATTGTAGGGATGAGGTCTTGCCAAGTTGCCCAGGCGGGTCTCGAACCCATGTGCTCAGGCAATCCACTCATCTCAGTTTCCCAAGGTTTACAGGCTGGGCCACTGAGCCTGGCTTAATTTTGTTTTCTGAAATCCAACTCTTTCATATACTTTGGAAACAGTTTTCCTCTATTTCAAGCTCTGTTGATAAAATGCCATGCCACAGCCGGGCTCGGTGGCTCAGCCTGTAATCCCGCGCCTTGGGAGGCTGAGGTGAGTATCTGCCTGAGCCCGCGGGTTCGAGACCCACCTGGGCAACTTGGTGAGACCTAATCTGTACAATAAATCAAAAATTAGCCGGGCGTGGTAGCGCGCGCCTGTCGTTCCAGCTACTTGGAAGGCTGAGGCGGAAGGATCGCCGGAGCCCAGCAGGTCGAGGCTGCGGTGGCCGGGAGCAGCGACTGCACTCCAGTCTGGGTGACCGAGTGAGACTCCGACCCAAAAAAAAAAAAAAAAAAATGCCATGCCAATAAAAATGCAATGAACCAAAAAGAAAAAGAAATTGAACTTGACTGATGCCACTGAAGTCCCGCGTGTCTCCCTGGAGTTACCCTCCTCACCCTGATCGCTGCAGGCCTCACTCCCTTGCTCTTCTTGGTCAGTTTCCCACCCACAATGGTCCCTACACAATGTTCTATGCCAGCACACCTGTTTTGAGAAGTCTCTGAATGGAACTGTACCGTTCACTTGTGATGTGCTGTCTTCTACTAGAATATTATTGAGAGACTCACCCATGCAGCTGCATGAACCTCTTGGTTTGTTCCTGTCACTGCTGAGGAGTACTCTACAATGAGCAGTTCACAGTTCATTTATCTGCTCTTTTGCTGACATTTGGGCTGCTCCAGTTTGCTTTAATAAACACTCATCTATAAATGCTCTGGAACAGTCTCTCTATGGAGTTTTTTTTTTTTTTTTGAGTGGGGGTCTCACTCTGTCACCCAGGCTAGAGTGCAGTGGTACGATCATGGCTCACTGCAGCCTCTACCTCCTGGGTTTAGGTGATCCTTCCGCCTTAGCCTCCCAAGTAGCTGGGACAACAGGCGTGCACCACCGTGCCTGGCTAGCTTTTTTTTTGTAGAGATGCAAAGTCTTACTATGTTGCCTAGGATGTTCTCGAACCCCTGGGCTCTCTTCTCAGATTCCCAAAGTGCTGGAATTACAGGCAGGAGCCACTACGCCTGGCCTTAGGGAGTTCTTAATCTTGTTATTATTAGTATTATTTTTGAGTTGGAGTCTTACTCAGTCACCCAGGCTGGAGTGCAGTGGCATGCTCATAGCCACCATAGCTCAACCTGCTGGGCTCAGAGGAACCTTCCACTTCAGCCTTCCAAGTAGCTGGAACTACAGACATGCGTCACAACACCCAGCTAATTTTTAAAATTTATTGTTTTAAACAATAAGGTAAGGTCTCACCATGTTACCCAGCATGGTGTCAAACCAGTAGGCTCAGGCAATCCTCTTGCCTTGGGCTCCCAAAATGCTAGGATGACAGGCATGAGCCACCACACCCAACCTTAGGAAGTTCTTAATCTTTTAACAACAGGGGCATACCCCTGGCAGTCTGGTGAGGTGTACGGATTCTAAGAATGTCATATGCATACGACAAAATACCTAAGATTACCTATGAATCCAATTATACTGAAATACAGTTACCAAATGCTAAACCAACTTGTGATAAAGTGATACACACACTGTTCTATTAATGCAATTAAAAATAGATGTCGCCGGGCTCGGTGGCTCAGCCTGTAATCCCGCGCCTTTGGGAGGCTGAGGTGAGTGGATTGCCTGAGCCTGCGGGTTCGAAACCCGCCTGGGCAGCGAGACCTCATCTCTACAATAAATCAAAAAATCAGCTGGGCGTGGTAGCGCGCGCCTGTCGTTCCAGCTACTTGGAAGGCTGAGGCGGAAGGATCGCCGGAGCCCAGCAGGTCGAGGCTGCGGTGGCCGGGAGCGGCCACTGCACTCCAGTCTGGGCGACAAAGTGAGACTCCAACTCAAAAAAAAAAAAAAAAATTAGAAGTCATGGCAGGTGTAAAATTGACCATAATTTCCAAGCAGCAACAAGAATAATGACACCTTGAGAGATGCGAGTTGTAAGGTGAAAAGAAAGTCCCTGTGATTTTGAGTGACAGCGCTGATCCAGTCCTGCTAACACTACCGTAGCTGAAGCTATGGTTGTCGCTACATCCATGAATGAAGGGAACACTCAACTCAGCTACAAGTCAAAGTGAATTAAAATGACAAGGTTTTTTGTTTTTTGTTTTTGAGTCGGAGTCTCACTCTCACCCAGGCTGGAGTGCAGTGGCACACTCACAGTCACTACTGCCTCGACCTGCTGGGCTCCGGCAATCCTTCTGCCTCCGCCTTCCCATGCGTGCACCCATGCCCAACTACTTTTTTGATTTATTATAGAGACGAGGTCTCACCATGTTGCCCGGGCTGGTCTTGAATCCGTGGGCTCAGGTAATCCTCTCACCTCAGCCTCCCAAACTGCTGCAGTGACAGGTGTGAGCCAGCGTGCCCGGCTTTAAAATGACAGGTTTTTAAATCCACATGTAGGTGCCTGAACCTCCTGAATTCTATCTAGGGACTTTCTGGGGGTGGTTCATGGATTTCTGGTCAAAAACCCATGCTTCAGGGCACGTATCTAGGACTCGGAACCCATGGGGATTGATCTTCCAGCGAATGAAAAGCACTGGCGACTCCACTGGAAGGCTCTGACTGCATGGCTCGTGGGGAGGAGGCCGCCCTCCCTGCACCACCACCCGCCACCTCTCCACAATGGCAGCCCACTTCTGGACGTGAGCCGAGCGAGGCTTGGGGGACGTGGGTTTCATCACCTTCCGGGCATCTTTCAAGACACGAACCAAAACCTGCCACGACCTCCCGTCAGCCCAGCACCTAAGCAGGAAGTGAACTGTCCCGGCAACCCGCATGCTCCCCCTCCCCACCATCCCGGCACCTGGCACCTGGCTACCTTGATGAGTGTGATGCCCAGCGCCTCCTTGGGCACTCGCCCGGTGAGCTCGTCGCAGATCCTGTGGATGAACTGGTGAGGAATAACAAACACCAGCAGATCTGCGTCCTGTACCGCCTCGCTGAGACTGGAGACGGCCACCTGGAACCACAAGGCGGAGGAAACCCTCACGATCTTGCAACCGAAGGCGCCGCTTAACGGTGACATTCACAGACCATCTATCCGACGCCTACTATGTGCAGGGCACCGGACATCCGGCAACAAAGGGCAGTGGAGTGTCTGCTTAGTCCTCCTTATTACTCGTGGGGGCCTGAAGCCGGGAGGGCCCTGCTTCACCAGCTGGGCAACGGGCCGACCCTCTCCAAGCCTCAGCCTCCTCATCTGTCACAGGCGTCGTCGTAGCCCCGTGTGGGTCATTCCCTGCGGCTCTCCCGACCCCTTCCTCCGGGCCCTCTCCAGCTTTGGCTTATCTCCCTGACTTAGTTCCCAGCAGGCGGACTTCCGCGGATGGGTCCTGGCTCCCCGGGGCTCTGGCCTCCTGCTGGAGTCAGCCAGTGTGGGGGTGGGGGACACTGCCAGGAGACCAAAGGGTGGGAACAGACAGGTCAAGCGTGCTAACCAGACGGGCTCGGTGGCTCAACCTGTAATCCTGCACCTTTGGGAGGCTGAGGTGAGTGGATTGCCTGAGTCCGCGGGTTCGAGAATCTCCTGGGCAACTTGGCGAGACCTCATCTCTACAACACATCAAAAAAAACCCAGCCGGGCGTGGTAGCACACGCCTGTAGTTCCACCTACTCGTAAGGCTGAGGCAGAAGGATCACTGGAGCCCAGCAGGTCGAGGCTGTGGTGGCCGGGAGCGGCCACTGCACTCCAGTCTGGGCGACAGAGTGAGACTCCAACTCAAAAAAAAAAAAAGAGTACTAACCAGCCTCCTTGGGCCATTCCCACTCGGGCTCGTGGTGGCTCTGGCCTGGTGCCACCTCCCACCAGGCAGCCCCTCTCCCGGGGCCCCGGGCCCTCTCAGGTGGGCTGGGTGGCATGTTTGTTCCCCTCAGCCTTTCCGGGGAGGTTCCCTTTCCTGAAGCTGCTGAACTCTGAGCACTCTATCCCTGCTGTTTTCCCTGCCCCTGGGGCACCCCTTAAACCTTCCCACAATAAGCTCTCCTTTGCGAGGGCTACAGAGAAGTGACTGACACAGAGCCACATCTGGCACCCGATTCGCACTCAGTACACGTCAGCTATTGATGGTTCCTTTCCTTGAGATAAGGACGAGTGCAGGTTTACCAGGAACAGGAGTGGGGACACGTGACGAGGGTGCCAGGGCCGTGGTCCCCAGCAGAGCCTGCCTGTGCCCGGCCAGTGTCTGTTCTCCCTTTTCCCTGGCAACAGAACCCCCAGATTTGAGCTGGGCTCCTGAATGCCAGACAGAAGGCTCCACTTCCCAGCCCCCTTAGCAGCCAGGTGTGCCACATGACTAAGTTCTGACCCACAGTGCCAAAGCGGAAGTGCTGCTGTGACTTTGGGAAAGTGTCCTGGAAGGTGTTTCTTCCTTCCTTTGCCGGAGGGAATGCACGGAAATGGCTGGACCATGAGGAGCAGAGGACACGCTGCGAGGATAGAATAGTAGGATACCACGAAACTCTAACTCCGCACGTCTTTTACATGAGAGAAAAAGGCACGCTCCTTTACTTTGCTTACATCACTGTTATTTTAGGTTCTCTGTCATGTGCACCCAATTATAATCGATACAGTTCCCATTAAGCATCCCTAGTTCCCAGAATGAAGGACCTCGGAGGAAGGGTCTTCTAAGGCCACCCCATCTGTCACAGGAGCAGCACTGGAAACAGAGAAGCCTCCGGGAAACTTGGCTTGGAGGTTGTGATGAGACCTCCAACTCCTAGCCCAAATCCCTTCTCCCTTTTCTCCATAATCACACACCTATAAGCTGGTCACCAGACAGCCAGCTAGGGACCGCATTTCCCAGCAGCCCTCGCAGTTCCACATAGCCGCAGGCCAGGGTCTCATCAGTGGACTGGGAGAGGGAGCCGTGTGACCACTGACGGCCCAGAGCCCTGAAAACAGTGGGTTGCCTCCTCCACACTTTCTCTTCCCCTTTCTATGAGTTGGAAATCTTGACAGGCCAGGCGCGGTGGCTCCCGCCTGTAATAGCAGCACTTAGGAAGGCCGTGGCAAGAGATTTGCTTGAGCCCAGGAGTTTGAGACCGGCCTTGGCAACAAAGGGAGACTCCGTATTTACAAAAAAAATACAGAAAATTACCTGGGTGTGGTGGTGTACACCTGGGGGGCATGGAGGACTGGGGCAGGAGGATCACTTGAACCCAGGGGGTCAAGGCTGTGGTAAGCTGGGCTCCCACCATTGCACTCCAGCCTGGGTGATAGAGCGAGACCCCGACTCAGAAAGAGAAACAAGGAAGGAGGAAAAGAATGAAGGAAGGAAGGAAGGAAAGAAAGGAAGGAAAGGAAGGAAGGAAGAAAGAAAGGAAGAAAGAAAGAAGGAAGGAAGGAAAGAAAGAAAGAGAAAGAAAGAAAGAAAGAAAGAAAGAAAGAAAGAAAGAAAGAAAGAAAGAAAGAAAGAAAGAAAGAAAGAAAGAAAGAAAGAAAACCTTGACAGCTTAACCTTGACCACGGGGAAGGTAACAAAGCCCAGGAGACGACACAGGAAAAAGCAACATGGGACCAAGAACAACAGTGAAGCAAAGCTGCCAGATCGCTGTTATGTGACAGCAAGATGGATCCCTTGTTCTTTCAGCCACGCCAGCAGGTGGCTCTCGCGTCTCTTGGCCTTCACCTTCACCAACGGTCGCTGAGAGTCACTCCCTTGTGCAAACCATCCCCACAGGGAAACCATCTGGGGCTGTTTCGTCCCCCATTCCTTCAGCGGGTGTGTAGGACTTCCACCACTCATTGCCCTGCTCCATTCCCCTTCCTTTCAGCAGAAATGCCCCTGAATTTCCTCTCACTGCTACCACTTCCCCACTTCACCCATGCAGTAGGGGGGAATGGCCCCTTTCCAGTCCAGGGATGCGCCTCAGCTCATTCAAGCTGATGGGCACATTAACCAATCAGAGCCAGAAGCTACCGGCGCTGTGGCTCATGCCTGTAATCCCAGCATTTTGGGAGGCGGAGGCAAGACACCAGCCTGAGCAACATGGCGAGACCTCGTCTCTACAATAAATCAAAAAATGAGCCAGGCGTGGTGGTGTGCGTCTAGTCCCAGCCACTCAGGTGAGACCTGAGTGAGGTGAAACAGAGTGAGACCCCCGGCTCAAAAGAAGACAAAAAGCATCATTATGCCGCGGGTACAGGCTGCACCTGAAGCCAGCCCTACCTGGATTTTAGCTGTATGAGCCAAGACATCATGTTAGCTCATGCTGGTGTGGGCGACCGCACACTCGGCCCCACACGGCAGGTCCCAGCCCCACTCTCAGCTCTGCCCCCTCTCTTGCCAGCACCCCGAGGCAGGGAGGTCGGTCTGCTTTCCCCTTTGGAGGGGCTTCTCCAGTCGGGTCACCTAGGCTGGGAGGCACGGGGCAAAGACCCATGACCGACTCTCCACCGACTCCTCCAGTCCTCTCACTCCCAGACAGTCCACCCTCCAACAAGGCAGTTTCTGGTTCCCGGTGCTGTTCATCTCCCAGGCCCACCCGCAACCACCCTGCTGTCCTCTGTGGGCAAAGCTCATTCTGCTCTCACATGTCTGTCCGGGCTCCCACCGTCCCCCCACCGCCTTCCTGAGAACCCAGGCCCCTCCGCCCCCTTGAGCCACCAGCCTTCCTGGCTGGAGATCACACTTCCTAATCCCCGTCTCACATGGGGTCTGGCAGCCTTTTTTTTTTTTTTTTAATCTAACTTTTTAAAAATTTTTATTTATTTATTATTATTTTTTTCTGAGTTGGAGTTTCACTCCCTTGCCCAGACTGGAGTGCAGTGGCCACTCCCGGCCACCGCAGCCTCTACCCACTGGGCTCTGGCGATCCTTCCGCCTCAGCCTTCCAAGTAGCTGGAACTATAGGCGCGCACTACCATGCCCGGCTGATTTTTGATTTATTGTAGAGATGAGGTCTTGCCAAGTTGCCCAGGCAGGTCTCGAACCTGCAGGCTCAGGCAATCCACTCACCTCAACCTCCCAAAGGCGCGGGATTACAGGCTGAGCCACCAAGCGTGGCTTTTTTCTAATTTAAAACAATAACTTTGTCGTGTATTAAATTCCTCTCTAGGCCGGGCTCGTTGGCTCAGCTTGTCATGCCAGCACTTTGGGAGGTCAAGACGAGTGGATTGTCTGAGCCTGCAGGTTCGAGACCAACCCAGGCAACTTGGCGAGACCTCATCTCTACAAGAAATCAAAAAATTAGCCAGGCGTGGTAGCGGGCGCCTGTAGTTCTGGCTACTTGGAAGGCTGAGGCGGGAGGATCGCCGGAGCCCAGAGGGTCAATGCTGGGGTGGCCGTGAGTGTGCCACTGCACTCTAGCCTGGGCAATGGAGTGAGACTCCAACTCAAAAAAAAAAATTTCCTCTCTATATGTAAGATACCCATAGGCTGATTCTGAGTTTTCAGTACTGTACTATTAATAGCAATTCCTTTTTCAGTATCACGTGAGTACGGGGTTTCTCAAACTCAGAACGACGGACACTGGGAGCCAGATGACTTTATTGTGGAATCTGTTTTACAAACGTCCCGCAGGGGGTCTGGCAGCACCTAGCTCCTACCTACCAGATGTGAGAAGCAGCCTCCCACTTCCCCCCACAGTGACAACAAAGTGTCTTCAGATATCGCCACTAGGCCCCTGATGTGAGGGGCCAAGTCATGCAACCTTTGAGCTTCTCTGGATCCACTGTTCCTCTTCTTCCCTGTCCACCTTGAACACACACACGCCCCTTCCTTGTGCTTTGTCAGGGCAAGGTCAACATGGTGACTTGGAAGAAACACCAGAACCAAAGAGAAGAGATGTCACTTTGAAGGTCTCAGTTTCTTATCTGCAAGCAACTGCGTCTGGGACCTCAGCCACCCCGTGTATAAAATGGGATAAAGATGAACTTTTCTGCCTCACTACTTCACAGAGCACATTCAAATTAAGCAATACAAATGACGGGGTTTTGAAACAACAAAGACTTGACAAATG